GAGCCTGAACTGTACCAAAAGCAGCAAAGAAGAAGCAGTTGCAATGGAGGACCACGAGAGTGTCGGGGTTGAGGGAGAGAAGGGAGACATGGGTGGTTTTAGGAGAGAGGAAGGAGAGCATAAGAGTCGGCTAAACCAAGCAGAAGATGCCAATTCACAGGCGGAGAGAAGAGAGAGAAATGAGGTTAACACACTTAGAACTCCCCTGACAACCACTCTGGACGGTCATAAGGTAGCTCAGAATCCAGACAGGGATAGGGAAAAGATACCAGCAGAGCCCCCAGCACCACCTAGTGACACTCTGCCACCACTACCAGCTGTTGACAAGACCTGCAAGTCAACACCCAACAAAACACTAGTGACTGGAGAGGTTGGAAACAAGGAAGAGGAGCAAGGTGGTATAGGGAACATAGACGAAGATGCCATGACAAAGTGGCTGGAAGTTTCCAAGGCTGGCCTATCCACTGACTCAACTGGCTCTGCTCACTCACCATCTGTGCCTCATAGCTGCCAACACAAGGCCGTAAGAAAACATGCATAATAACAGGAGCTGAAGAGTGTGCGACATTGCAGTGTGTAAGGCATGTCGTGTACGAAAATCATGTCGGAACGCATAGTTACGTGCTAAACCTCCTTAATTCAGGCCTAGCTCCTGTTAACTACATGTTATGGTTTACTACGGTTAGTAGGAGGGCTCTTTGCAAATCATTGTTTACAGGGTCCAACCCCTGAGCAGATGAAGGCGCGGGAGCTCTACCTGAAGCAGCAACGAGATCGCTTGGTAGAGGCCAAGAGGAAGCAGAGGGCCACCACTCAGCAGGCTTCCTTGGTGGGCAGGACCAGGGGGCGGTATGACAGACAAGAGGTGTCCAGTGAGAGAGAGTCAGGGTCCACTGGGGTCAGTGGTGGGGGGAGACGAGGCAGGGACACGGGAATCCTCTCCTCTGGCAACTTGAAGAAAGTGTAGCCTTGTTTCAACACTCGTACCTTGCTAGCTTGTTTCTACGCTTTTTTTGTATCACCAGTAATAGTATTTTTCATTATAACAGATTTTTATGCTTCATTAGCACATGACACATGACAATAAAGCTGCCATTTGAAGGAGCACAGAACAGTATATAGGTCAAAATAATGGGCTAATACAAAATACGGAGCTATGTATCATCGAGTTTCTTTCGTTTTGCCGGACTCTCCACCTGGTCTTCCGACTTTTCTTCCTCGTCGCTATCTTCATCATAATCCACCAGACTCTTCAAAGCCTGAAGTGAATATACAGGCACAAGGACATGTGGTTGAACCTCAGTAGACAGACTGGGGGGGCCATTATTAAAACTGCTTGGTTCTTACATCAGAATAATGAGAAGAGGGCAGGGCTATGGGTTAGACAATCTTAACAAGAGTATGCACAGCAAGGATTATTTGTCAGTGAGTGTGCATCACTGTGCATCACTCTGCCTGTCTGTTTCTGCCACTTGCCACCATTACCAATACCTGTGTAACAATAGGGGTCTTGATGGAGGATGACTCAGACTGGGGTGCTCTATTTAGAGCTGCAGGTGGTCGTGGGCTGTAGGAGACTTGTGTGAAGGGGGAGGGAGCCGGGATAGGCTTGGAAGGAGAAGAGGAGGAGGTGGAGGAAGGTGGGATTGATGTAAGTGTGGCATCCAAGCGGATTGTGGGAGGGCTGTGAGGAGATGAGGAGGTGGAGGTGGTGGAGGTTGTGCTAGTGGTGCTTGGGGGAGAGGTGGAGGAGGTGGGAACAGGGAGGGAGTGGAGAGGGGGAGTGGGGGAGGAGGTGAAAGGATCCGTGTAGATGGCCGTTACCTCTTCCTCTTCTTCGTCAAACCACGCCTCCTCGTCCTCACCCATTTGCCGGGGGTCCCTACGGTAACGAGTCATCACCTCACCTCCTCCATGCAGAATACCAGGGCTATAAAACAGGGACAGAGAGAGAAATATTAATGGCTAAATAGGGACAGGGAAATTCCTACTGTAGCACTCTTAGTACAGTGTGATTGTGGGTATATAAACAGTTCCTGCGTTGCACAGTGACAGTGCAGTCTGACAGAGATTGGGCTCATGAGAATAGGACTCTGGTATCATACAATAGTGGTCATGATCTTTTATAGCTAGCTACTGCAGTGGTGATAAGTACAACCCATAGTGGCTAAAAAAACAGAAAGTGGTACCAGAACATAACCATAACATCACAACAAACAAGGTGATGAACAATAGACAGTTTGACACCAACGTGACAAGCCATGTTACTTTAACATCACAGCCATACACTTTCATACACCCACAAAAAGGTGTGGTACAAGATATACACAGTACTTTGCACAAGGCACTGTTTGTCCTACGAACATGTAACTTCATTATCACTAAGACGAACAATTCTCAAACATACACCCCATATTTGTAGAAAAAATTTATCATTCACATGAAAATTTTCAAACCTGCAAACCGTCGCATGGTGTACAGCGGCTAGCACAATGAAGGTATATACAGACCCTCACGTGGTGTATGGAGGCTAGTGCACACCCTCGCGTGGTGTAGGGAGGATGGTGCACACACCCTTGCGTGGAGTAGGGAGGCTGGTGCAATTAAGGTGCACACCCTCACGTGGAGTATGGTAGCTGGCACACACACCCTCGAGTGCTGTAGGGAGGCTGGCGCACACACCCTCGAGTGCTGTAGGGAGGCTGGTGCAATTAAGGTGCAGACCCTCACGTGGTGTATGGTGGCTGGTGCACACACCCTCGCGTGGTGTAGGGAGGCTCACACAATGAAGGTGCAGACCCTCGCGTGGTGTATGGTGGCTAGCACAATGAAGGTGCAGACCCTCGCGTAGTGTATGGTGGCTAGCACAATGAAGGTATATACAGACCCTCGCATAGTGCACGGAGGCTGGCGTGCAGACCCTTGCGTGGTGAACAATAAAGGTCCATGCTCTACACGGTGGCTGGCGCAATGAAGGTGCACACTCTTGCGTGGTGTATAGTGGCTGGCGCACACACCCACGCGCAGTGTGGCGCAGACCTTTGCATGGAGTAGGGAGGCTGGCGCATTGAAGGTGGACACCCTTGCGTGGTGTATGGTGGCTGGCGCACACACCCTCGCGCAGTGTAGGGAGGCTGGGCACAGACCCTTGCGTGGAGTAGGGAGGCTGGCACAATGAATGAACAGATACATGCATGGGCAGGTGCAATGAAGGTGCAGACCCTCGCGCAGTATATGGAGGCTCGCACAATGAAGGTGGACACCCTCGCGCAGTATAGGGAGGCTGGCACAATGAATGAACAGATACATGCATGGGCAGGTGCAATGAAGGTGAAGACCCCGGCGTGGTGTACATATGTAAGTGTGTTTATATAAAGATGGAGGATAAAAGTGAAGGCTCTGTTATGGTTTAAAAAGTCATCACAAACATTATCCAGTAAGGGTGGGCAGTATAAACAAGCTTACTTTCACTGTCACCTTTTCATCATTAACGATAAGAATACACCTGGTGCACACTGTTTTCTATTTCAAGTTTAGTAGGAAGTGTTCACACTTTTCGTAGATAGATAAAGGCGAAGAAGCAAAACCATTTAGCAAAAGGGAGATGGAGAAAACGGTCTACCTCGCAGTGTTTTTTTGTCACTGGAGCCATGGTTTGGATCTGGACAGGATTAACGCTGTTGTTGGAATGAACTGCAGTTACTACCTCCAACACCAACAGCACTCTGCTAGGATGGGTGGTAGCTTTAACTCCACTAGTATTGCTTTCGGTGACATCCCACAATTAGACTGCCAACCATGGTTTTTGCCATCACAGAAGAATGATTGTGCGCCAGGAAATCGCTTTGGAGAGGTACTGCAGGTTCGGCCAGGCACCAACCAGACCCTGCTGCTTCCTTTCTACTGCATGACTACTTCTGAGAACCTCACGCAACATAGAGATGTTATGGGAGGCTGCCTCTTTACCACCAGTATCCCACAAGAAATGCGGTTCTTCCCCCTCCCGTGCAACATCTCAGAGCTGAACCAGTTCATGTGTGCAGACCTGAACAGAGAGGGACAGTTGTGTGGGAGGTGTCAGGATGGCTATGCTCCACCGGTCTATTCATATGCTCTCCACTGTGTCAACTGCACTGACTATGGCTACCAAAACTGGCTCAAGTACGTAGCAGTTGCATTTGGTCCTCTCACTGCCTTCTGTGTCATCATCATAGTCTTTCACATCAGTGCCACCTCTCCATACCTCCACGGATACATTCTCTTCTGTCAACTGTTCTCCTTGCCAATCATCTATCGCTTATTTCTAACTAGTCATGGCTACATGTATTATAAAGTACAAGATGGTCCGTGAAGATTTACAGTAGTTTCATCAGCATATGGAATCTTGATTTCTTCCGTCTGGTGTACGAGCCATTCTGTCTCCATCCAGACATGACTGTCATACAGAGTCTGACACTTGACTATCTGGTTGCACTTTACCCTCTCCTTTTAGTAGCCATCACATACTCCCTTGTTTATCTGTATGGCAGAAACTGGAAGGTGGTAGTTTTTCTTTGGAAACCACTTCGCAGAATACTGAGACCACTCTTTCGTGATCTGGACATTAGAGCTACTCTGATAGAGTCCTTTTCCACCCTCTATCTCCTCTCTGTTGTCAAGATCCAGTCAGTGTCACTGGATCTCTTAGTCCCAACACCACTCTACTATGCAGACGGTACACAGGACAGTCACTACTACCTTTACTTAGCTCCGGATGTGGTCTATTTTGGTGACACTCATCTGCCATATGCTCTGGTGGCACTTATCCTGTCTGTAGCTCTGGTTATCTTTCCAACACTGCTACTCTTCCTCTACCCTTGTCAATGTTTCCAGAGGTTCCTCAACAAGACAAACTGCAATTCACAAGTCTTTAAGAACATACATGGACGTGCTTCAAGGCCACTACAAAGACGGAACAGACAACACAAGAGATTTTCGATACTTTTCAGGAGTTTTCCTTGTTGTGAGAATAGTTTTTATTATTCAATTTTCCTTGTTCAATTCATATCTTTCTATCATTACAGTAGGATTGTGTGTGACAGTGCTGACATTCACAGTGGCAATCCTCCATCCTCAGAGATGTCACACTCACTACATTCTGGACTCTGTTTTCCTTTCATTTCTCTCTGTTATTCTATTCTATACCATTGGTACAACTACAGGGACACATAACACTGTTCCATCACTAGTCCTATTGGGTCTTGGTATAGTTTCTATTAATTTACCACAACTTTATTTCATAGGTTTAATTTTGTATTGGACAATACGTAAAAAGAAGATTCCACAGAGGATATGGGCCGCAATACAGAGAAGAAGAAATACTGACAATCACTTAATCAATGCTGTTGAGTAATGTTTACAGTTGTATACTTATTGTTTAATGAACATCCCGTGTAACACATATGGATACACACGAGGAACTTATGTTGACGTATGAATTCAAGTCCCCAAAGCAGTTTTTCATCCAACAAAAATGTGCATGTTTTTGGTACCAGTATAGGTCACTCGCTTTTATCGCACACTGATGGGACCAAAAACATTAAACAATGATATTGACGATCCCTAGTCAGTAGAAACCTGTGAGAATCAATAACCCTGCAAAAAACTTCGACGTACGGTTACCCTCACTTGCATACTCACACTTAGTAGTAAAATGGCTCAAGTAACATCTTGGTTTGGTTTGGCTGAAAGTGTTCGTAGAGATTAATCCTAAAAATATTAACGGCTTCAAGCATGCATTTGACATGTGTTGATGACGGTAGTATAAGGTGAAACTAAAAAGCTTCTATCTTAGCAAACAGGATCGATGAACTATAACGAAAACAGATAACCGATCTGTGTATAAATAACACACTGGCTGACAAGTAATTCAGGATTTCAAAATGAGGAAGGTGATCTGTGCCATAGCTTTCTGCTGTCTTTTTACTTCCCCAGGTCTTAGTCTGGACCAGGCCTGGGTTAACTCTGTCAGAGGAAGTAACTGTACGTCTTACATCTACAAGCAAAGGAAATCTGGTGGAAGTGGCTCGATCACCTCAAATGGTAATCAGTCACTGCAGTGCCCACCGTGGCAGCTACCATCTCACAATGGTTGCAAGTGGGAAGAAACATACCATCGGGTACTATCGTTGCAGCCAGGGACCCAACAAACACTGCTGCTTCCTTTCTACTGCATGACTACCTCTGAGAGCCAAACAGAACACAGAGATGTCCTTGGAGGCTGCCTCTTCTCAACTGTTCTTGAGCAGAATACACTGTTCTACCCGCTCCCGTGCAACATCTCAGAGCTGAACCAGTTCATGTGTGCAGACCTGAACAGAGAGGGACAGTTGTGTGGGAGGTGTCAGGATGGCTATGCTCCACCGGTCTATTCATATGCTCTCCACTGTGTCAACTGCACTGACTATGGCTACCAAAACTGGCTCAAGTACGTAGCAGTTGCATTTGGTCCTCTCACTGCCTTCTGTGTCATCATCATAGTCTTTCACATCAGTGCCACCTCTCCATACCTCCACGGATACATTGTCTTCTGTCAGCTAATAACACTGCCAACATTATTACGCTTGCTTGAACTAAGTCACAGCTATAACCGCCATCATATGATAACAAAACTGACTTTTGCCGTATACAGCAGTCTATATTAGGGATTTGGAATCTTGATTTCTTCCGTCTGGTGTACGAGCCATTCTGTCTCCATCCAGACATGACTGTCATACAGAGTCTGACACTTGACTATCTGGTTGCACTTTACCCTCTCCTTTTAGCAGCCATCACATACTCCCTTGTTTATCTGTATGGCAGAAACTGGAAGGTGGTAGTTTTTCTTTGGAAACCACTTCGCAGAATACTGAGACCACTCTTTCGTGATCTGGACATTAGAGCTACTCTGATAGAGTCCTTTCCACCCTCTATCTCCTCTCTGTTGTCAAGATCCAGTCAGTGTCACTGGATCTATTAGTCCTAAACACCACATCTACTATGCAGACGGGTAACAGGACAGTCACTACTACCTTTACTTAGACTCCGGATGTGGTCTATTTTGGTGACACTCATCTGCCATATGCTCTGGTGGCACTTATCCTGTCTGTAGCTCTGGTTTGTCTTTCCAACACTGCTACTCTCTCTAACGCTTGTCAATGTTTCAGAGGTTCCTCAACAAGACAAACTGCAATTCACAAGTACTAAGAACATACATGGACGTACTTCAAGGCCACTACAAAGACGAACAGACAACACAAGAGATTTTCGATACTTTTCAGGAGTGTTCTTGTAGTAAGGATAGTTGCTGTAGTTCAGTTTCCGCTAATGAATTCCAATTAGCCTTGTCACTTAGGATTGTGTGTGACAGTGATGACATTCACAGTGGCAATCCTCATACTCAGAGATGTCACACTCACACTACATTCTGGACTCTGTTCTCCTCATCGGTCCTTTCTTAATGTATTTTGCTAGAATGGTAGTGCCGTGGGCATACACAATACATTCCAACAAGGATTTCCTACGATTTGTACAGGGGTTCATGTTATGTTTACCATACTTTTCTTCACTTCGTGTGCCGTACATCGAAACAGCAGATACAAAGAGACGGTTCGACCACAGTGTGGAGCAGAAGCTGGAGGAGCGGTGCTTCGGTACATATCGGTACTACGATCTCTTGCTTGATGCAATTGGCAATGACGGAAGATGCATGCAACGTACAAAGGACATAGATATTATGTGTTTGTTTATTATCAAAGACACACCAACAAATTTCACACGCCACACAAATATCTTGTTTTCAGTGTGGTATGTATGTACTTTCTTGTGTGCATAATATCAGTGCAAAATCCAAATCGTAAGAATTTTCCATTTGTCATAACTAAAGCAGAGCTGGCGCCAGTGCACCAATTATAACGGTACAAGTGTACTTCTGCAATCATTGCAACTGCAAACAACCTTACCTCGTACATCGCGGGTAATTCCTCCACCACTTTCCGTTTCTGTTTTACAGGCACTAGCAGCTTATTCAAATTTACTCAGCAGTTATGGTTCCCTTCACGCTTATATACGATATGGCCGCATGATATAGCTACACGTTTCGTACCATACAGCACACACATAGTTTATGACCCCCAAGCAACAGATGCAGGTAGACCATACACAACACTATCCAACTCTCCCACCACTACAGTAAAGTAGTATTATGGACACTATGTCTTTCATGCCCCACAAAGGACTACATTACCGATACTACTGTCTTATAGCTACAAACGCACAAAGCGACTCACACTGCAGGGGCAGAGTCCTTGTTGTCCCGTCTATCCATCTCCTGCTCGTGTTTCAGCCTCAGTGCCTTGAATGTGTCCACGTACTCAATGTGTTCCAGAGTGGACCAAAAGTTCTCTACCACATAGCTCACCAGAGACTTGACGTTCTCCTGTGTCGACAGTAGAGGAAGATCAATGGAAGAGATATACACAAATTTTGGTCAACAAAAAGAAGTGACCAATTGGCAATATGGAACACGGGAGATTTTTCAGTTTAGTAGGAAAATTACTCTGCGTGGGTTGGGACAATTTTCAGTTAGGCTTTACCAAATAGGTGTGCTTTCTCCATCAACAATTTGGTAATCTTCAACAAGCTTTAAGTGTGGATATGCTTGAGGCACCTACCCTAACTTACCACTCTGAGGTATTCAAAGAGTTCAATGATAGCAGAGTTGAGGAGGTTGTACCGCCGTCCGTTGGCAATAAAGGCCTTAATAATGGGGGCAAGGAGATTGTCTCTGACTATGTAGCGATTGTAGAACTCGTCTTTCAGACCCACAATCTTCCGACAGAATCTCAGAGCGGCTGAGACGGACAGGGAGGAGGAGGAGGAGGGGGAGAATAGAGAGAGGGAGAAACTTGATGCTGTGTACACAAAACAATGAAGTAAAAAGTGAAAAACTCAGATAAATAGAGGCATCTCTGAGATTTTGTATTGAAGCTGGAGAAAATGCACAGAAACAGCTCCGGCTTGATGCAATGCTTTCAACAAACAAATGGGCCGAAAATAAATATTTTTGAGCTGAGCGGTCACTCAATCGACATTATTTGGTGAATTTACATTTGTCAAACTATTATTTATGTGTCCATACGCTTTTTGGGAAGTTCCTTTAGCTCATGACCTTTCATAACTAATTCACCAAAACAACCGTCATAATAGAACATACCAAGTGCAAGGTGTGCATGAGAGGAGGTCATGAGGACGAGAACCCTTGAGAGGGCATTCTTGTCGATGATGTAATTCCTAATAAGGTAGGTGTGTCTTGCAACACACAGGGAGAGTATGTCCAGAATGTGGGAGAGCAGAGCTGAATTCTGAGACGAGTCTGGGCAGGAAGGCAGGGAGAGAGGAAGAGAAAAAGAGGGAGGAGAGAGGGTAGGGGGAGGGGGAGGGGGAGGGGGAACATTTGCGCATACACAAATCAAGGAGCAAGACAAGAGGAAATAGAAGAGGGAATCGGCAGTGAATACTTAGATGAAAATATAGCAGGAAACAATTTGTATGATGCGCGTATGAAAGTGAATAGAATGGAAAGGCACAAAAAACAGGGAGAAAGAAAACAGACAGAGATGAGTAGTGGAGAAGTCCTACATATATACCCCTGCTGATCTTGGTCCCTGCAGTCTGGGCCATGAGCGGTGCCATCAGCCGATGCATGCAGTGCTTGTAGAAGTAGTTCAAAAACAGGCTCTTCTCCACTGTTTGCTGTCGAGAGGAAGAAAGATACATACATACATACATATTAAACCCAGTAGATATGGTGTCTGGTATTATAGAGTATGTATACATGTACAGCAGTGGATTCAGCCATGATGGCCTCGGGGTCAATGATAATCTTTATCAGTCCTACCACCTGCACCTCCAGATCTGAGAGGGGGGGGGGAGAGAAAGAGACTAGCCATGTTGAAAATTCTATAGGATTTAGCTAAAACCTGTGAGAGGAACATTACTCCCATGAAGCCATCCACAAAGGCTTGTTCATGTAAAGGGGGCTCTAAATGGACAAGCAATCAGCTACACAAGAGTTTCCTCCCCAAACGTGTCCACCATGCAGTACAGTAGACCTCACCAGTGTATTCCCCATCCACTAGCAGATTGATCAGTAGGTTCATAAACTGATTGTCCTGCACCAAACACAACCACAGGAGTAAACACACCACACAAGCCAATAACTGAGATTGGAGGAATAAAAACGTAGTAATCTCTTAGATTACTGAGTTTCCGGCATGGCAAATCCCTGGGATTACTGAGTTACTGGCTCAGTAATCTCGGAGATTACTGACCTCGCTTTGGCTCTCGCCATCCTGCAGGATGTGGTCCCTGAGAATGGAACAGTGGAAGTCAGCGATGGACATGAGGATATCAACTGCAGTTCCCACCACATCTTTATCCTCATACGCCTGTTGACCAACACACAGACATGCGAAAGTGTTAGCCAAGAAATTCAACACTTGTTCAAGGTGGCCACAAGACAATTGAAAAACACATTGCATATTGGAAAGCTTCAAAGAGGGTATTCACTTCTGTATTTTGTAAGATATGATTGCACAGACACTACACAGTGGGCAAGAACAGGAAACATAGAAACCTAGAGAGACGTTGCATAGCCACTTCTGAGGCAAACACGAAGACAATTTAACCCCCTTCTCACCAGCATTCCCTCCACGGCAGACATGAAGCCATAGTCGGAGAGGATCTTGAAGCACTGAGTTCTGTCCCCCACCTCTAGGGCTTGACTGAACGTACATATCTCACGTAGCAGGTGAGTCTGGGGTGGAGAATGGGGGAGGGAGGAGGGAGGGGGGAGGGGGAGAGAAGATGAAAGGAACTGCGGCAGTATAATAATGGCTAAATAAAAATGTTACTAAAAACGGAAACCTAATTGCACTAGGGGCTAGTCTAAATTTAGCCTTTGCATGTACTGCCACAGTCACTTTACAGAGAGCGGGAAGGAGTGAGAGGATTGGGGAGAATGGGGGGAAGGGGAGGGAAGGGGAGGGAGAGACGGACAGGAGCGAAGAAAAGAAGAAATCGGACAAGCCGGAAGAGGGACAGATGAGCGAGGGAATGGTTGATGAAGAAAAGGAAGAGTTTGTACCAGTTCTCTATACTTCTCCTCCGGAGTGGCCTCATCTTGTAGCATTGTGAACAGCTCCCTCAAGAATCTGCCGTCATCCTGCACACACACACACACAACCAACACAGCAACAGAAACAAGAAAACAGCCATGAGCCTTTGGCAGAGCCACTATCGAAAAGAAAATGTCTTACACTAGCTAAAACACCCGTTGCTTTCGAAAAGCAAACTTTCCTTTGGTGCAAGCTTCACTATACACCCCCCACAAGATCAGCACAAACTGCACTCTTCTTTGCACACAAACAGACCTGTATGGTGTTAATGATATCTGCCTTGTTGAACATAACGAAAGAGTTGAGGGCGGACATCATGTTCTCTTCGAAGAGGGAGGGGGTCGGTAGGATGACCTCCTGAATGTACATCACCTGATACGTCTGGTGGATCTGTAACAGTCGGCCAGAGGGAGTGCATCGTTTTGTAGTCTACTAGTGATGCAAACTGTAAAGGCCACGAGGCAACTCGGTTGCTTTAACAAAGTTGCAGAAAGTATTGGTACGATGGCCCCAGACAACAATAGAGGGCTTGTCTATGTATAGGTTAGATCACTGGAACGAGTCACTACGAGGTTTAAATAACCCGAGGGGGAGGGGCCGACCCACGAGGGTTTTCAAACCGAGGACATGTGTTCAGTGGTCTAATTGGCTTAGAACCGCGGCACGGAGAGCGCAGTTTCGCTTAGTCTTTTCGATAGTGTGCAAGACCCGTTACCCAGTTGGCCCTGCCCGCCAGAATTTAGGCTGGGAAACGGCGAAGGCCCATTTGCTCATAGCTTCGAGACTGCCGCCGAGCAGGACGCGTTCATCGTACAAACATCGCAGCAACTGGACGCCATATCCTGCAAGCCCCGCCGGAGCAAGACACTGCCACCGGAGCGCTCAGCCCGCGTCGCTTGATCTGGACACGATTTGTTGTTTGTCGCTAGTCAGACGTTGAAATCAGCTACATGGCTCTTCCGGGAAACGCCTGACTAGCGACCAACAACAAATCGTCCTAGCGACCAACAACAAATCGTCCTAGCGACCAACAACAAATCGTCCTAGCGACCAACAACAAATCGTCCAAGCGACGCGGGCTGAGCGCTGCGATGCTTGTATGATGAACTCGGCAGCAGTCTCGGAGCTACTAGGAGCAAATGGGCCTTCCACTCCTTGATTATTATGGATTTGACCTTTGTTAAACCTCAGTGATCTAAATTCTTCACAGTGATCTAACTTGCAACTTAGAGATTTAGTACTTAGATACCTGGCAGACCTAGTACTACGGGTTTTAGACACTTGATTACTACACTCAACATCAAAGGGAATTATTCATGAGAGGTTCTAATTGCTGTATATAGAGCCAACAAAATTGCCATGTGTGGCTAATGAATGACGAAATAGCATAGGGACTGAGGATTTCTGCTGTTACACATTAAAGATGCTAGCGGTTAGTGTCCCTAATTGCGGGTAGTAATTGAATCGATGCCCTTTCAGTTCCAGTGGTTAGTGCTATAATACTAGCAGCAGTCATCCTGCAAGATGTTACAGGCTCATGCACATTTGCGGGACACACAAGGGAGAAAAGGTTTACGATAATTCTACAACAGGTTGCACTGCGAAAGAAAAATCTGTGTGGCAATCATTCTATGATGTCGAATGTACAGCTTTTTGTCACGTCTATTCTTTTTTTTGTTCTCACAATTATTAACCCTCGGCGGCGCGCATGCGCAGCGAGGGTTACAGTGCTTGGTCTGTCTGTCCGTCTGTTACCACGATTTCTGCCACCACGCGCAACAAACAGGTAAAATAGCGACACCAGCGGGTTCAGAGCTACACTGGCTTTATTTTGAAATAGGCGATTTTCGTAAAAGTGCCGCGTTCAGAAGTTATGGCGTGAAAACCAAGTGAACAAGCCAATATGCAAATTAGCACTCGACAAGATGTGCTTGCTCTGCGTACCTTGGAGGCCCAAGACGTCACAACGAAGGGCGTGTATCGACTCCCGCATGCTATCTACTACTGTAGCTAGCCCGTGTCAGACTCCGCGAGCTACTAGCGGGAGTAAACGTATACTAGTATAATAGGCCCAGCCCATCAATTAGCGGTACCGCGCATGCACAGTTCGCCGAGGGTTTGCACTTTAGTGCTTTTCATTTTAGACAGTATGCCTGAATAAGAATGAAAATTAATTAGGTATGCGGGATGAGAGAATAGATTCTAATGGAAGTCTAATGGATCCACGATACAGTACATAAGGACTTGGTGAAAAAACGCGTCTCACCTTGTTGAGTAGCTGGGGGTTGTTGAAAGGGATGACCTCTCTGTGTCTGGCTACCTGGGCCAGGTACTCCCGGTGTCGCACAGACTGGGGCTTGCCGGGGTTGTACTCCAGACAACCCACCACAGACACAATGTGCTCCTCCTGAAACATGATGTTGAGCAGCGCCGCTTTGTTTATGAGGAACAGCGTGCGGAATATGTTATAGAGGTGGTGGAGACCCGTGGTGTTCTCCAAGTCTTCGCAGATGTGGAAGAGTTCGAGGAGTTTCGGGATGTAGTTTTCTCTCTCCATGGCCTGGACTAGGCTCTCTCGGTGCATGGGGGAGGGGATGGCCGTCGTGACCAGGTCGAAGATCTCTTCCAGTTTGCCGAGCTCGCAGAGAGGGAGTTCAATGATGCAGCTTTCGTCCAGGTGTGTGTCTGAGGTGTCACCGTCCTCGGCTTCCTGGGTGACCGAGGCCGAGGGATTGGTGCCTTGGATCTGGTGAGGGAGGGAGTGGGGAAGAGGGAGAGTGAGAAGAGTGAGGAGGAAGTAAGGAGGGGGTGCGGGGGAGAAGGGGAAGAGAGAAGAGAGGGGGAGACAGAAATGGTAAGGAAAGAGCGGTGAAAGAGGGAAGGAAAGGGAGTGTCTTCATGAGACTGAGGTGATGACATCAATACATACACCAGATCAGGAATTGGAGACAGGCCAGGGATATTTCCACATCAATGAAACCATTCCCTTCGTGTAAATCAGGCTTTTCCCACACTTACCAGGAAACACCCTTACGACTATCACACACCCTCTTTCTGCGGTGTAACATTCTGCTTTCTCTTTCACGCAAATAATTTTTTCTTTCTGAGTGCATAGAATTGTCGGGTGTATCTCACGTCACAGATCTGAGCCCAGAGGTCGTTGCAGCCAGTCTTTTCCTGGAAGCTGAGGGCCAGGTCCGTGTTGTCGTTTTCCGTCCAAACGATGAGGGTCTCCTCCTGTTTTTGGTAGACTCTGTGACGGAGGACTTTGGACTCCAGCAGTAGAGAGCCTGGGTTAGGATTAGCGAGGAGAGGCAAGCCAGGGGAGGATGGAGGAATTTAAACTGGTCGAAACAACAGTTGTCAACTTCACCACATGTAGGGACCGTGCGCTAAATTCCTCTATCTACTCGCTGGTCCAGCAATCATCTGCTACGCTGTGTTACTACTAGTTCAGGTACAGGGAATATGTCCAACAAAACTAGGTGACGTGTACGTGCACATAATGAGCGTGTAACCGGTGTATCGAAACGACAATTCTAGAAAGACTGGTAAAAGCCCAGAAGCTTACTGTCGTCCTCGGAGCGGACGGTGATGATAAGTGACTGGAGTCGCTCCACGTAGTTGACGGACACGTGGCCCGTCCCCATGTCTTCCCACTGCATCTTCTCGTTGAAGCTGTACACCTTCACTCTCCGCCGCGTGTCCGCGATCCCCGTGACCGCCATGGTCGTCGTCATTGCTCACTGGACGTCGTCCAACGCTCCCAGGAGCCCCAGCCTAGCCACACACACACACACACACCGCCAGCGAATGGGTTTCTAAAAGAAGCGCCACATCGAATCTATGCGCATGCGCGATCCGTGCTTCCTCCGCGGTGTATAAAAACACATACACACATATCTACCTAAACACATAAACATTACTATGATCGCTAATATGCATGTAGCCATCCGAATTAATGGCAATACTCAGTACAGAGCGTCCATGAAGTATGGCTTTACTATTGAAATCGATAGTGAAGGATTTGATGTACTCTCCATTTTCGCTGAAAACGGACAGCCTACTTGAGCTTTGTTCAATGAGGTACGCGCAGCCATCTGGTCCGACTGCAACAGCTGCAGGTTGATAAATTTTACGATCCACTCCAGAGTGTGTCATGGAAAGAGATGGTGTCCGTCTGCATTAAAAACCTGAACTCGATTGTTGAAAAAATCGCACACTAATACATTTCCTTTCTTATCAATCGATATGTCTTCTGCACTATTGAATTCCCCGACACCACTCCCCTTTCTTCCAAAGCTGTTGTGCAATGTCAAGTCCCGATTCAAAACTGTTATGAAATATGTACGACACAAATACACTTTGTCATTCATGGGATTGTATGCTATAGCCAAGACAGGATTCAGCATGAATTTTCCTTCACACCGGACATTTGCAGATGACACTTCATCTCCTACGGGTGTGAATTCCCTTACATGATCAATAAAAGCGACTAAAATAGAATTATTAGGCAATGCTGTCACCCCTACTGGCCCACCCAGCCCTCCTGCAGGGATGTCTCGTAAATGTTTGTAGTTACTATCAAACCTTGAAACGTAATTTGAAAATTTCTGACATACCAGCAAGCCTCCTGTAGCAGCACAGGTAATTTGGCAGGGATAATTTAACTTTCTTATGGAAAGTACATAGATTCCACAAAACCCTGGAAGGTTTGCTTTATTACGACTTTGCTGGGAATTCTCTACAAGGATACTCGGTAGATCTTCCGATGGGGGCTTGTACTCACTACACACCTCCTCCACACGCTTTTGAAACTGCTTTTTCATTGAGAGAACCTCCACTTCTGTACTGCTACTCATACTTCCTTCAATAAATTCCAAGCAACTGCTCACTTCGGCCTCCCTCAAATTATAACCATCAACTTTATCCTGGAGAAAACGTCTTCGCTTGTTTACAACTTGATCTCTTAGTGAATGACATTCTTGCCTACTGGCTTCTATTTTAGCTAGAGATTCTTTGAAAATATCCTCCATTTCAGCCCTTAGTTTATCAAAGTCATCGTCTGTTTCTTTTCTAAAGTCTTCGTGAACCTCTTCCAATGCTGTCAAGGAGATATTCGCATCATTCTTCTGTTCAAGTAAGCAAGTTAACTCAGCTTTCAAAGGGGTTAGACTGGAAACAATGCCATTTCTATACTTGGAAAACACTTCTGGGATGAGATCGTACTCGTGGTAGCGATGGGCTTTTACCGTGCAATCTCGGCAAATTACTTCTTCGCAGGTTTCACAGAAAAGTTTGATTGGCTCTGTTGAATGCTTGGTGCAAAACACTGTCACCTTTCTCGGAGTCACCATTTTTGAGGCCATTTCCTGAACTTCAAAAAGGCTGGAGATTTGGTGGCCCTGCAATTCTTTCCACTTTAGGTGCATATCGTGACAAAAACTGCAAATAAATTGGCCACAATCTGCGCAGAAAGCCTGCACTTCTCCCTCCCCACACTTACTGCATGATGCCTTCTTACGGTTTTGTGCCATCTCAAGTGCCTCCCTTATTTCAAAGAGATGCTGGATATAAAATGCACGTGGAAAACTAGAAACACTGCTGCCAAGAAGAGAAGCTGAACGACGACAGTTTGGACACAGAATGCTTCGCATATCAACGAGCTTCTCAAGACAACTTTCACAAAATACATGAAGACATGGCAATACTCTGGGCCTTGAATATTCTTCCTGGCACACTGAACATACAAGCTGATCAGACACCTTCTTTATTGCTTGCTCAGTTGTTTCTTTCAGTGGAGCTTTTCCTTTTAGTGATACACAACTCCTCTTGCTATTGCCAGCCATTATACCCACGAAGGTATACTACTGTAGCTACACTGTATTTTTGCTAACTTAGCTCACAGGCACACTGCGCAGTCTTTTTTGGAAGCTCTCGATCGCGCCGTTGCACGCATGCGCAAAAGATACCGTATACATAAGCAACGGGCTATGTATGGTAACGTTGTGTAGCAAAATAACTGCTAGCCGTCGTTTGAGCGATGAAGTCAGCAGTATTACTGCATCTCTTATGGTATTTAGTGGAGTCGCAAGGCCAAGCTTTTCCTCGCATATCATTCTCGGGGGAGATTCTGCTCAACAATTCCTATGTGGACCTCAATCGTGTGGGGAGCATTACACTGAGGGATGGAGAGAGTGTGGTTTGTCACACAGACTTGAGGCCATGCTGCAGTATTACTGAAGGGAGTTACCGTGCAGACTGGTATTTGCCAAATGGAAGTAGATTACACTTTAGTCACCATAATCGCCCTATAATGTTTGAGAGACGCAGGAATCAAACGGTGGCACTGGAACGTGCGGGAGATGCAAGCATGCTGATGTCTGGGATTTATCGCTGCGACAGTCCCACCAACGAGGTTCATGATGAAAATGATATCTTCGTTCGTGCCTCAGCCTATGTCGGATTGTATGCAGATGCATCTGAAGGTAATAGCTTTTTGCATAATTGTAAAACTGAAAATAACATATGCTAACTATACCACCTAACTTGTTAGGCGAGATGTGTATAGCTTACTACATATAGTCCAAGATTTCTCTGGGTATGATTAGCTTCGTGTGTGTAACTGATCATTGTTTTTATCTTGACTATTTTTGGTATGTTTTGTGTTGAAATATTGTACATTATTTTTGCATGCATATGCATTTTACTATTATAGTGCTTTCATCATTGCAGGAGGTATTTCAATGACTGGTGGCATCAATGTGAGAGTTAAACAAGACCAGCCACTTGAATTCACCCTCACCTGTATCTCCACTGGTGGACCTGCTACCAATGTCACTTGGACCCGAGACTCCACCACTGTCACCCAAGGAACTGAGACTGTGCTGAATGACCCAGTGACTGCACTGTACACCCACACTCTGACTGTGACTGGGGCACTGGGAGGAGTCTACACATGTACTGTAGCCAACAATAAACCATCACGGGCAGCTGTAAACATTGCAATAGGAGGTATGTTTTTCACCAGAGAGCTGCTGCGCACTTTCCTTTTTCAGTATTTTTAATGTGGGCTGTGTGTGGGAAAATACATTATGTCTGTCAGCCCTCTGTTGAGTTTTTACGCCTTCACTTTCCTTTCCTCGGTATTATAACGGAAAACAGCTCGGCTGGGAAGTGGCCATTAGCACAATAGTAAAACAAAATGACGTAGAAGACTGAGGTCTGACTGTTTGTTGGTTATGCAATCATTTGTAACCACTTTACTGTAATGTAGAGTGACCTTCTCAATTGGAGGGTGAAGACATGTAAGCCATTAAATAATGTTGCATAACAAAACATGATGCCAATGATTGCGTCAATGGTCATCATATATGATACTGGTGCATTATTTATTACACATTGCACAAACAGTAACGGTCTTTGCTTTTCTTCAGCCCCTCCAGGTGCTCCAGAGATGTTTAAAGCAAGTGCTGGTGAGAGACAAGTTAACTTCACCTGGTCTCCACCCCCACAAACCCTGCCCAGCGTTCTCAGCTACACAGTCTACTGTACCCCTTCCCTCACTTCCCTTCCACTGTCAGCCCCTACCACTCCTTTCAGTTCAATCACAAGGGTAGTTGAAGGGTTCTCCCCCAATACCGTGTACAATTGCTCAGTGATAGCTGAAAACTCAGTGCGTGTAGGACCTCCAGCAAACGCATCATTCACCACACTTCAAGACTGTGAGAAAAAGCATCTGCATATAGTTGATCTTTCATTTAAATGCACAATCATTCCTTTCAGATTCTTACATTCAGTTGCACCTTGGTACAGTTCTAGAAGGCTGCCAATTGTTTGTGGTAAGAGGTGCAAGATAATGTGCATACTACCGACTGACCTTTTCTACAGAGCACAAATCAGACAGGAAAGTTGGAGGCTGTTACTGACATCATCCTAAAGCTAATAGCCCAAGAGTGTATCAGTTGCAACAGTCAAACTATTAGTGAGGGTCAGTTCAACTGTGACCCCCTTTCTCCCGCATACGTGACATATCGAGCCAGACTGGAGGGAACCTCAGAGACAGACAGTGGTTCCCTCATACCTCTGATAGAGGCCTGGGCCATCAATGGAACTGCTTTAACAGTAGGTGGAGTGGTTCTGACTGTGAACCCCAGCTGCCCGGTCCCTCTCTCCGCTCTCAATGAGGAACTTTGCACAGCAGCACTTGCATTGAGCGTTGGCATTAATACCACATCTGAATCACCCAGACCCAGCAGCTCCATCACCCACAGCAACAATATTGGTGGGACCACCTCCGAAAACCCCAGTGCCTCCACCGGAACAATTAGTGCTATAATTGGAGGAACAGTGGCTGCCTTCCTGGCTGCAGTTCTTCTAACAGCTGTTGCTCTTGTTGTGACATTTCGACGAAGGAAAAAGAAGACATTTATGATCCCAAAAGAGTAAGTTGCATTACACACAGCCTCATACACTGGCTATTGTCTGTGGCATCTGATCCATGTATAATATTGCTTACTGTAGGCCGAATCTTCCCACAGTAAACACAATCACCAATGCAGTATATAAGGCCCATGAGAAAGAGAATGAGAGTATAGATGACTACGAAAACGTGACAGTCTCCAACCCATTAGAGCAGGACGAATCACAAGACACGATGCAGAAGCCAGATGTTAATGTAACGGCCACACAACGATGGGGGCAGGATGACGACATGATGCAGGAACACGCACAACAGAGGAGTAATGATGACATGATGCAAAACCAAGAAGAGCATTATTTGAATGTAACGGCCGCACAACGATGGGGGCAGGAGAGTAATGACAACATGAAGCAGGAACAAGAAGTAAACGCACAACAGAGGAGTAATGATGACATGATGCAAAACCAAGATCAAGAGCATTATTTGAATGTAACGGCCGCACAACGATGGGGGCAGGAGAGTAATGACAACATGAAGCAGGAACAAGAAGTAAACGCACAACAGAGGAGTAATGATGACATGATGCAAAACCAAGATCAAGAGCATTATTTGAATGTAACGGCCGCACAACGATTGGGGCAGGAGAGTGACGAGGATTATGGTGACTCGGAAGTTGCATATACTGCTGTTTCCCACAGCCATGCCCCTGACACCCCACTGTATGATGCAGTGTATCATTCCTGAACCTCTTGCTCTCAACAAAATGAAGAGAGTGCTGACTTTAGTATACACCATTTTGCAGTTTCATTTAAAGTAGATGTACATAAATAATGTATTGTGATCATTGACACCTTTATGAAGATTAAAGTGCACACTGATAGTATGGGTTTATGGTCATTGACACCTTTCATTGATGATGGGATGTTATGTAGTCCGTGAGGTAGAGAGTAAACGGAGGTCGGGCTATAATTATAGCGGGAGATTTCTCTCACTCTGCAAATGGGGGCAAGAGTCACGTCTTTTTCTCAGAGACTTGTAGGGCAACTGCTTCCCGGCCCAGCCTCTTCTTAAAACAAGAGCCATGAACGCCAGCCTGTTCCACATTGGTTCCGCCTCACTTCCACCACACCAATATCCCTCTCACCCACAAACTGTTTAGCTGAAGAGTAGGAAACCTCTTCATAATATACACGTTCTCTTTCGCGACACTTGTCTCAGACAAGCATCACAGGAACAGGTCCCAATAACGGGGCTTCTTGCATCAGACTGGGAATAGATAAGCTCATGGGCATGATCTTGTGGGCGACCTCAAACGAGTAACAAACCAGAGGGTTGTACACTACACTAACATGACTCGGACGGCGCGCGCGCACGCGCAGCAACTTATGCGCATGCGTATCAAGAAGGCGCTTTGGTTAGCTAGCTGGACGTCGGCGGTTCAACCCGTGTGGTGGGACGAAAAATGGATATCGACGAAATATTCGAGCACATCGGGGAGCTGGGGCGAGCGCAAAAGAACCTGTTAGTTCTCCTCTCTCTCCCCGTCGCCTGGATGTCCTTTCATGTCCTGATCCCCAACTTTATCGCCGCCGACCCTGGCTGGAACTGCTTTGTCTTCACCACCAGTCAGTCCATCAGTCGTGTGTTGCCACACCAGTCGAGAACCCAAGGCTCATCGTTGTTTGTCTTTCATCTCTCTCCCCAGATTGCACAGTAGGTATAGGAGCAGTGCCTGATTGCACACGTGCTGTCTCGCTGATCACTGATCCAGAGGAGAAGTGTAGACACTATGGGAGTGAGGACTGCATGCCTCAGTTTGACACCTCTGAGTATACCTCCATTGTCTCTGAGGTGAGCCGTCCGAACACCAACAAGTGGCTTATGGTCCCGAAGAGGTTTACACTGTAAAGAGCCTGAGGCTGTAAACCGCTTCCACCAAACACAGGAGCACTTGTTAATTGTTATCCACATTCATAACTCGAACTAAACCCCACCTCCCCCTCACCCTCCGATATTAGTGGGATCTGGTATGCAGCCGTTCGTCTTACCCCAGCGTAGCTCAATCTGCCTACTTCCTCGGCCTCACAATCGGGGCATGGCTGTTTGGCTCCCTGGCCGACATGTACGGGAGGAAGAGGATACTGTTCATAAACGTCCTGGGATGTACTGCCGTAGGACTCGGATACGGACTGGCAACTCGGTTCTCAGTGTTTGTGGTGTTCAGATTCCTGTTTGGAGTCATGAGTCAGGCGATTGCTGTGGTGGGGTACAGTCTTCTACTGGAGGTTGTCGGGGCTGGGAAGAGGAGTTTGGTCGGCGTTCTGACACAGTCTTTCTTTTCCGTCGGGATTGGTGTCCTGGCATTGGTGGCGTACCTCTTTCGAAACTGGAGGGTTCTGAGCGTGTTTATTTCTGTTATTGGACTTAGCTTCTTGCCACTGTGGAGGTAAACGAGTTACCCATGTTCTATTTTGGTGTTAGCTATATATGCCTCTCCCGGCAGGTGGATCCCAGAGTCTCCTCGGTGGCTGCTGGTTAAGGGAAGAGAGGAAGAGGCAAAGGCAGTCCTGACTAAGATTGCCAGGGGCAATGGGAGGAATATGACAATCCCACGACTCAAGAGACCCTCCAGCCAACCATCAAAGACCACTGTCTCTGTCACTGAGCTCTTCAGGACTCCAGTCATCAGACACAGGACACTCATCCTCCTAGTAGCTTGGCAAGCATAGAAAGCTTGAGGTGTGGATCATTATGGACTGTCTCCACAGGTTCACCGACTGTATGGTCTACTATGGTCTGTCAATGAGTGCTGGTAGTCTAGGTGGTGGGAGATATATCTCTGTAGCTCTGTCTGGACTGGTAGAGCTGCCTGGTCTCTACATTAGCTACCATCTAATGGAGAGGTATGTACATCAACTCTTTGAACCTTTTAGATGTGGTTTGAGCAGCACAAGTGGATATTAACGGCAGCCATAGCACTCTTTGACTTTAGACCACACACTTGGATGTGTATTGTATAGTAGCTGTAAAATGAGAATTTTTGTGTTCAGAATTGGGAGAAAGTGGACTCACGGAGGGCTTTTGATGCTTGCTGGGATCTGCTGTGCTCTTGCGGCAATAGGATTGGGTGAATCTGTGAGATTGGTTGTAGCCCTGCTCGGTAAATGTTCAGTGGCGGCCTCGTTCTCTGTGGTGTATCTCTACTCTGCTGAGCTGTTTCCTACCGAGATCAGGTGCATCCATAGAATCCTGTAGCTCCATGTGTTTGTGTGTGGGTTAGCTATCATCATAATTATTGTCCAATTATACAGGAATTTAGGACTTGGAGTTGTTAGTATTTCGGCCAGGATTGGTGGGATTCTTACTCCTCTTATTTTGCTGATGGTCTGTTAGAACGTCTCTAGCTACGACACAGTGACCATTCCCTCTCTCTGTGTCTGAGTATAGGGAGAAATAAATCTGGGAGGAGTGAGTCTGGGACTACCGATGGTGGTGATGGGTTGTCTGGGACTGTTGGCTGGTCTCCTGAGTCTCCACCTCCCAGAGACCCTACACCAACCTCTTCCTGAGACACTCGCTGAACTCACATAACTTATTTTCCAATCCACCAACCTTTCAGTAAAGATGTATATTATATTATCATCATGCCGGTATATAATTATTATTGACACCCCAATTCATTGTGGCGGTGTTCCCATTATTGGTGTGCGTTTAGCATTACTTGGTAAATGTTCAGTGGCTGCCTCTTATAGTATGATCTACCTCTACTCTGCCCTACTCAAAACAGGTAAACTGTTTGTCAGTGTGGTCTCTATAATGATGATGGTTTTACAAAATTACAAGTCTAGCTTTGGGGGTAGTCAGTGTTTCATCTAGAAATGGTGGAATTGTGACTCCGCTTCTTCTGTTACTGGTGAGTAAGAGTTAGTTTTATCTTCGTCGTCACTGTGTGAGCACCGGGCACAGTGACCCTACTTCCTGAGACACTCGCTGAACTCAATATCAATTTTCACCGCGAGTATCGCGGACGCGTAAAATCGGAACCTGTCTCCGTGCGAGGAAAGTTGGTCTCCTCTTTGTCATGGAGATCGAGGGAGTGTTTGGGCAGATCAGCGAGCTTGGACCTGCGCAGGTGAAGCTCTTATTCCTGGTCTCTATCCCCGGACCCTGGATAGCCTTCCATACCTTCATCACCAACTTCATTGGTAGCGACCCCGGGTGGACCTGCTCCGTCCACACCAGTTAGTCCGGTAGAATTGTGCGTCGGAGGACTATGAATTATCGTTCTCAGATAATTGCAGCAGCGGAGGAGGGGCTCGTCGTGGCTGTAGTAAGACTGGTGGACTGCCAGTACTGATCACTGATCCAGAGGAGAAGTGTAGACACTATGGGAGTGGGGACTGCCAGCCTCAGTTTGACACCTCTGAGTATACCTCCATTGTCTCTGAGGTGAGTTTGGGTCGTTTTTACACCATGTGGTATTTTTGAGGCCATGGTGTCAAAATCCAGTGACATGTGATAGTCTGGACTGAATGCAGTCGGCTACACACCACGTTTAGCATGCAATGCAGTCACTGTGATACAGGAAACCACCGAGGTGGTATTAACAGGAAGTGTTTTTTTTTAACTTCAATCTGTCACACTCTTGTTGCTCTGTCAGTGGGACCTGCTATGTGGTCGGTCGTCCTACCCACATCTGTCGCAGTCAGCATTCTTTCTGGGACTCATGATTGGAGCCTGGCTCTTTGGGAGTCTTTCCGACGTGTATGGAAGAAAGAAGATTGCATTCCTGGCCCTACTGGGCTGTATCTGCACGGGACTTGGCTACAGCCTGGCAAGCAGCTTCCTGGTGTTTGCACTCTTCCGACTTCTGTTTGGGCTCACCAAACAGGGTTTTATAGTTGCAGCGTTTACTCTGATGGTGGAGGTTGTCGGAGCGTCGAAACGGACTTTTGTGACGATTGTTAACCAGGCAATGTTCACTGCCGGGATCTGTGCTCTGCCACTGCTGTCTTACTACATTCGCAGCTGGAGAACACTTAGTATCACAATCTCTCTTCTTGGAATAGGATTTCTATCAGTCTGGAAGTGAGTAATGCTGCTGCCTCCTCAATTTTTAAACTAAACTGTCTTGCTTGTCTTGCCAGGTGGATCCCAGAGTCTCCTCGGTGGCTGCTGGTGCAGGGGAGAGAGGAGGAGGCAAGGGCAGTCCTGACCAAGATTGCCAGGGGCAATGGGAGGAAGATGACAGTCCCACGACTCAAGAGACCCTCCAGCCAGCCATCAGAGACCACTGTCTCTGTCACTGAGCTCTTCAGGACTCCAGTCATCAGACACAGAACACTCATCCTCCTAGTGGCTTGGTGAATATAACCCATTCAACCATCAAGTTCCACTCGTGTTTCGGCCTTTCTCGACAGGTTCACAAACTGTATGGTCTACTATGGTCTGTCAATGAGTGCTGGTAGTCTAGGTGGTGGGAGATATATCTCTGTAGCTCTGTCTGGACTGGTAGAGCTGCCTGGTCTCTACATTAACTACCGCTTATTAAACAGGTCCGCTGTGATCTATAGCTAACTGTTGGTGTTGAACTCTGGTGCAATTTTCAACTTCAGAGTTGGGAGAAAGTGGACTCAAGGAGGGTTCCTTATACTTGCTGGGATCTGCTGTGTTCTCTGGGCATTAGGACACTGGGCAGGTATTGTACACATTCACCTGACAATGACCAACAACGAAAGGGAGAGGTTGCCTACTACTGATCTAGGTTGTGGTGAGCCGTTGACGCTGACTCTGGCCTTGGCCGGCAAGTGTGCAGTGGCCAACTCATTCTGTGCTCTCTACCTCTTCTCTGCTGAGCTCTTCCCAACTGAAGTCAGGTATACAATCATGTTGTGGCTAGTTTTGTATAGACATTGTATATATGGCGATACTACTATACAGGAGTTTAGGAATGGGTGTGGTCAGTGTAGCTTCAAGACTCGGTGGAATCATGTCTCCTATCATTTTGATAATGGTGAGTAATGGCCTTCTTAGTCTTGTGTCCAGACTGTGTTTCAAGGGGAACGATGGTGTCAGTGTGTAAATCTCCCTTGCAAATCGGCTGGGCAGTGGAACCTCCAGTAACCTCTCCACAAAGGGCACTTGTTTTAACCCCATGCTATATACTATATTTGTGTATTTTTGACCTCTGAGATAGGGAGGACATCTCTACAAGGGACATAATCTTTGGCCCTATATCCCTTGCTCGGAGGTTTTGCTATAAAATATTATATCTGACTGAGAGCTATGCCTGAGCTGCTTCTCTTTCTTGTCACTCTGTGTGAGTGTAGGGAGGAGTCAGTCTGGGACTACCGATGGTGGTGATGGGTTGTCTGGGACTGTTGGCTGGTCTCCTGAGTCTCCACCTCCCAGAGACCCTTCACCAACCTCTTCCTGAGACACTCGCTGAACTTGAGCACCGGGCACACATCACAATCTCAACTTACCCACAAATATATATCTAAGCCCACCAGACCCTAATGCAATGCGTGGCCCTTGTCCAGATGCTTCACTAACGAATAAACATTACAGAACGGAGATGACAGGTCAGCATCAACGCGTCCGTGAAGCGTTAAATATATAGTGGATAGTACTAGGGGTAGCTATACACTAGCACCTGCACTTCTTTTACAACAAGTGTGACAGGACTGCATGTAGGGAAGGACTTTGCTGCACTCGGCATGACTGCACACAACGACAGTACACACAATGTACTGTGCCATAGCACAGTGGTTTGAGGTTTGCCGTGTGTGTTGTTGATTCGAACCCCTACCAGCTGAGTTGCCCTGGTAGCTCAGTTGGTAGAGCGCTCACCTAGACTGCAGTGCCACCCAGGGCAACTCTTCTTCTTTTCTTTGAAAAGAAAGAGGTGTAGTTGACTTGTTTGCCTTGCCTTTCTACCTCGCTACCAAGTTGTTGAGACATGCCTACGTGTGCTGCCTACGCAAGCACACAGAGCCACAAACTGGAGCGTAACAAACATGAGAATAAAACCATTATTCCACATCGCTAGAGTGTCAAAATTAGTTATTATAGTAGTGTGTGTAATTGGGATCAAGTTGAGGAGGAGACAGCAAGTTTCTTGAGATGGTCCATAAAAACCTGAAGACTGACATCATCCGTCAGAATTGGGGCCCCACTTCCCTCCTGCACAGAGAAAGAGCAAATCAACAATCTGCAGCTTCGATTAGCCGAAACACTGTTAGGTAAGGTTTTTGATGTAATGATGATGTCATTCTTACAGCTCCCCATCCGGACATGGTGTTGTGGGTCTGCGAGGGGTTGACTTTGGAGAGGAGGAAACGAGCCTTTCAGAAGAGGGGCCGACGAGAAGGGAGGGAGGGAGGGAAGAGAGGGAGGCGAAAATGAGTCACATGTGGTGGCGAGGTGACAGAGGATGTACATACGTACCTGACTGCCTCCTTTCTGGGTGACTATGTATCTGGGCATTGGGAACCGCGTCTGCAAGATCTCCTGATGGAAAAGAGGAACAGAATTTTCTGCTGTGATTTTGTGAACTTATGTACCACCTTATCTGTGACTTAAACTTTATCTATATAATTATGACTTTACACAGTACAAACTGGATCACCATGCTAGGTTTCACGTAATATACTACACTCCAGAAAATCGCAACTGGATAAGGAACTGTGACTATGTGGTCTGGAACCTCCAGGGTACGACAATATATACCTGTGCATCATCGACTGGGGCCTGAAGGAGCTGTCTGAAGTTCTCGTGATCTGGGAGATCTTGATATCCTGCCTTCTTCCAGGCATCTATGGTCTGCCGATCAACATCACATAACACCACTGACTTACAGTACATAATAGAATGACTGTAACTAGAGCACGACCTAAAGGAGGGAATTTTTCAAGGGGAAGAAAGATTTTGTGGTTTATGAGTGGTATGTTTTTGATTGTGACATTTTGTGTGTGCGAACATTTTAACAGGAAAAGATAATCAATCTGTGAGAGGTAATGGTTAATTTCCTCGAAAGTTCTTGCTATAAGCTATTCATTGCGAGTTAAGATGTATGTAGAGTGATTGGAGGGGGGTGGGGTAAAGAAGACCTCACCTCGCCGTTGTAGATGACAATGTGGAAGAAGGCGTCCATGAGAAGGATTCTGTCGGCTGTGATGCTGGTAGAGTCCAGCAGAACTGGCTGTGGATATAATTATGGATAGGCAGCAAGTCTAGACACTAAATTTACTAGGATTGTGGTTAAGGCTGGTTGGTTTCACAACCTAGCTGTGTTGTTAACCCTCGGCGTGCATGCGCAGGGAGTGTTACGGTACTTCGTACAGTGTGTGAGTCTGTCTGTCTGCCCGTAACCACGGTTTATGCCACAACGCGCATACGATGATTTTTCATTTTTTGTAGGCACATGAGTATATAGAAAAAGAGACAAACCAACTATGCTTAATACTTTTGCTACAATTGGAGTATGGAATGGTACCATCTTCTATCTCGCTGCACCATATCCCTATCTCACCCACATTTCGCGCTCTCCCCTACATGTCTGTCAATGATTTAGCATTTTTTTGTAGGCACATGAGTAGAAAAGGAGACAATCCAACTATCCTTCATACTTTTGCTACAATTGGAGTATGGAATGGTACCATCTTCTATCTTGCTGCACCTATCCCTGTCTCACCCACATTTCTTGTCCTCCCCTACATGAGTGTGTCAACGATTTTGCTTTTTTTGTAGGCACATGAGTAGAAAAGGAGACAAACCAACTATCATTAATACTTTTGCTACAATTGGAGTATGGAATGGTACCATCTTCTATCCTGCTGCACCTATCCCCGTCTCACCCAAACCACTAAGTGTGCAGGTGTACAGTTGCTCACCTCAGGAGGGCCGTTGAAGGAGTAGGCATAGAGGATGGGCTGGATCATGACCAGACTCTGGGTCACGTCCTCCTTGTTCAGCTTGTTGCGGTAGTACGAGGTCTCGTCCGGACTGTTGTTGAACACCTGCAGGAACGGAGACCTCCGCAGGTGGAACATGAACTGCAGGGAGGAGGAGGAAGAGAGGGAGGAGAGTTTTCAAAAGTGAGAAACTCTATATTTTTCTTGTTCCTTGTCGTAGTTAGAATTCGACCCGTGAGGTCAAAAAAGTATCAAACATTTGGTCAGGTATCTCCTTAATGTCATGGAGTCATTATGCAAAAGTTTCATTTGCGAGATTTCGTGAGCAGGGGCGTTTGTACAGCTGCAAAACAATCCACGAAAGTTTTCTCTGCATAACAACACTGTTTCTGGTATATAGATGGAGCGAGGTGGGTTGATGAAATGTATCTCATGTGCATATTATGATGCTGGCTTACTTGTGGGTAGAGTGAGAAGTTCTCGCTGAACTTGAAGGAGCTGGGGTCATCCTTGTGGTACTCTCCAAACTTCTGACACTACATGGCAATAGAAAAATAAATGGCAGGTATAAATTGTTGTCATTCAGATGGCGAAGTGTTCAAGAGTTGACTTACCAGTCGAATGAGCATCCTGTCGAGCCAGCGCAGGACATCCGGACCATCGTCATTCTCTGACCTGGCAGCAGAGAGAGAGAGAGAGAAACACACTCTGTACCTGACATCATTCTCACAAAGGGGTGTACAAAGCTGTTAGATGGACGACAGAAGAAAAGGTAGGATTAGGAGGGAAAAGAAAGACGGTATATTTTGTTGGAGTCAAGTTGAGTAGTACTTAGAGGGATTGAGAACGGCAAGCTTTTGTCTTTCTCTTTTCCTCCTGACCTGTGAATTTCTTATGTACAAAGCTAAATTATCTTTGCGTGTACCGTGACACTGCTAGTCGGGCCATCATGACTGCAGCACACTCCTGATCAAAACTGGAGGAGATGTAGTTGAGATTCGTAGCTGCATCCACCCATCTACAAAATCAACCACCACAAGTAAATGTACTAACGTTTGGAACTTTATGCATGCAGTCACTATGTTACAGGGAATGTGGCAGTGTAAACTGTAAGGCTAAATTTAGAAACTGTTTAGTTAAATTTAGCCCTTATGTACTGTCAAATGTTCCTGTTTGAAAGTGTGCATAAGGTTCTATTTGATGCACTCTCTCCACTCACATACTCTACAGATGTAAGAAGCCATGTATTTTCCAGCCCAACTACAATCTCTGTGGACGTGGGTAAGAGTTATTTCTTACTGCCTGGCGATGGTGGTGACTCGAACTCTCTTCTGCCCGGTGGAGTGTTGGTAGAATGTAATGAACTGGACACAGCCCATCTGGCCTTGCGGTATGCTGCTGGCTTGCTGCAGACACACACACACACACACACGAAACACTCATAACCTAATCCTGTACATACATAGGGGACAAGATCTCCCTGTGAGTGTAACTGAAAAAGCCTGGATGGTGCTTAGCTTCTGCAACACATACACACCTTGTGTGAAGCGTGCACAAACCTTCATATCGACCTACGCCACACATAAAAGTACATATAATATAGTACATACTGTATGTATATGGGAACAAAACTGCAGGTGATGCAGTTTGAAGATTTGCTACTATAATACATACATTACCTGGTTGGAGACTTCGAACGCCACGGCAAGAGTTGTGGAGGGATCCAGACCACATATCTTCCAGGCTGCCGTCCCACCCACTCCAATCTCCTGCAGAAAGATAGCTCTTTTTACAAACATCCATACGTACTATGCAGAATAGGAGTTCTTTTCATTAGCATGCATATATACACGTATCACGCAGAACAGAGTTTCATAACCATGCATGTAGGCGTATTATGCAGAATAAAGAGTTCTTTTCATAAATATGCATATGTATTATGCAGAATAGAGAGTTATTTTCATAAAGATGCATTATATGCACATGTGTTTGCTGTACATTATAGTACTGTATGTGTGTGTAGTCACACTCACACTGTCAGAGACGTACTGGTTGCGACGGTTGAGTGATACACATGGTCCTATCACACCGCACACCTTCAGCTCCCGACAACACTACAAAACAGTTTTAGTTCACTTTTGTTACGAGC